CCAAGCCTTCGCGGCGTTTTCGCTCTTGAACCAAGCCACCATGCCATGCTCAAGTTCTCCTGACAGGTCCTCGGCCGCGTCAGATTCCCTCGAATACCAACTACAACATTACGCACTCTTGCCAAGTATTGCTGGATTCCTGGAGCATGCTCCTACTCTCACCACTACTTGCGTGCCCCCGGTAGTCAGAATTGCTGCTGGTTCCGTTTCTTTTGCTCTGCCACATCCTGCAGGCTCGGAATCCAAAAGCCCCAAGCAGCAGGAACCCTTCAAGCCCCAAACTGTATTCCGCCTACAAAGCCTCAACCCCAAATCTCCAAAACGTAGCCGTCGACCCCTCCTCAAAACTGGAACCCCAGCCCCTTAAAGCTTTCCAACCCTCGATGTTCGTGTATTCAGGGTTTACAGGGGATGACATCTGGATAAAGGATGTGCAAAGGAAACTGGAAACTACCAGTACTATGATATCCAGGTGCTTATGTTTTGCTTGATTTAATGTACTGACTTCTACTATCATCAGTTTCAATGAGTATCAGATGCAGGTATGCCTAAATCTGTGGAATGCATTCAACAACAATCCAGTCTCGTCTAGACTGCCATGACAACTGGGCTCAACGCTACAAAGAATGATCTGGGGCCCCGACAATGCCGTTGTCTAACTTGTCGTTCAAATATTTCATAGTGGCCTTCATTTCTTTATGGGTCAGCTTTCGCTTCCAAACCATGACCTCCATGATGGCAAAGTCCGATTTCTCCCGGCGGTTGGTGACAAGCCTATGCTCTCCTCCTCCGAATGCTTTGCCATTGTTGTTGGCAATGTTCTTGTCCGGATTGCTGCCCAAGTAGACCTGCTTGCCGTCGCTTCCGCAAATCACCAACCAGTCTTCGTTCCCACCATTGCGACGGCTGTTGGTGTTCCAGTGCTGGTAGTGTGCGACTCCCACTTGGCTGGCCCAATGCCCGTGCAGCCAATTCTTATTGTTGCAGTCGAGAATGCGACCTTTGCTGCCTCCGGTATAGCGAGCAACCGAGCAGACGGTGTAGTCATTTTTCAGGATCGGGCCGAAGTCAACCTTGACGCCAGTGTTGCCCGAGATGAACTTGACCTTGCCCTTGGCGCCGTGTCCGCTCTCCGTCTTCACAGTCGCATCAGGCGCCTGTGCTGCCGCACCACCCTTCACTTCGTTTGGCCAAGCCTTTGCAGCCTTCTCGCTTCTGAACCAAGCCACAAGGCCGTCGTTGAACTTGGCAAAGTCTGGTCCATCCACCTCGGTCGATCGCGAGGAGTCCTATATCCCCCAAGCCCTTCACCAAAACACTAGAACCCAACCCCGAACCCCGACCACCAAACCCCTCAGCCCTCCAGGCAAGACCCTCAATGACAGTGCAGGGAACCTCCTCCTTGTACTTCAGAGCCGTTTCTGGGATGGTAACCTCCAAGTTGCTCCACAAGATAATGGGTATAGAGGGTTTATACTATATTTCGGGGATACTGGGTATAGAATATGGAGGGTTTAGGGTATTACGGGTAGTTGGGAGGTTTAGATGGGGCTTTAGGGGTTTCAGGTTTGAGGGTTAGGGTTCCAAGGGCTTAGGGCCGGCGTAATTGCTTAGAGAAAGTTAAGTGGCAGCTGCTCCCCAAATCCCCACACCCTTTGTGTTGCGAATCTCCGGCCTTAGAGCCGCCAGTGTCCGGCCCTTTGTATCGCATCTTCAGGACCTGGCGCCCAGACGGCAGAGGTTTTGCTCGTAGGATTCTGGGGTGGGCTTTGGATTTACAGAATTGTGCCCCAAAGACCAGATCCTAAGCCATTGAAACCCAATTAAATCCTAAACACCTCTCTGGTCCATCGCACACCCTACGTACGCTCTGACCCCTCAACCCTCAACTTGAACCCTAAACCCTGAACCCGAAGCCCGAATCCCCAAACCTTCAACCCTGGACCCCGAACCCGAAACCCTATATTACATATAATCCCTATCTACCCCCTATATAACCCCTATAATTCCTGTAGTTTCCAGTTTCTTTTCCATTATCCCAATATATCCGCTATATAACCCCTATATCCTTAAATCCCTAGACCCCACACCGCCTCGCCGCCGCCCATCTCGCACATGTCCACGGCGAGCTCGTGAGCTCCAGGCTTTAGCTGAATGTCGCTGCTGTGTCTCTCCTGGTCCTGGGTTTAGGGGTTTAGGGTTTTAGGGGTTTAGGGGTAAGGGGTTCATGGGTTTAGGGTTTTAGGGGTTTGGGGGTTTAGGGGTAAGGGGTTTAGGGGTTTAGGGGTTAAGGTCTAGGGTTCAGGGTGAAGGAATGAGGGCCTAAGGTTTAGGGATTGGAGCAAGCTTTAGCGATTGAGGATGAAAGAGTTTTATCCAAAAACCTTTGTTCTAGAATTTTGGAATTATAGCAGGGCTTAGATGAATTTGAGCAGGCCCAGTTGGGGAAACTAGGAAGTCTTCGGAACTCCCGTTTCTGAACATCAAAGTTCCCAGCAATGGGTTCTGGCTTAGGGGTCATGGGGATTACACTGTATGGGTGTTCAGGGATTGTATAAATAAGATGTGGGTACCGTCTCAAAGACACCATGAATCCTCAAGCCTAGTATGCTCACTAGAAGGCTTAGTACCTTGACAAAAGGATTCCTGCGGAGGGGAAGTGAGTGGGTGTTCGCGTAGAAGTTAAGCCTTTCGAGTCCAAGCAAGGTGTCCACCGCGTACCCTCGAAAACAAAAACCATTTGCATACTCTTATGTCCTCGATAGGAGGCCATCAATTTAAGGCACGGTGTTCAAAGAACAAAGCCTGAAGACTTCTCCCCTGTAGACGCAGCCGCTACATCGCTTGGTATAGTATCGGGAGCCTGAGTGAAAGCTTTTAGGCCCTAAAGTCTTAACCTGCCCAGTTGCCGCATGGCAGCCGTTGTTGTCGACCACCTTCTTGCCGTTCAGGTACAGGAGGGAGCCTCAGTTCGGGGGATTCAGGTTCGGGGGGCTGAGGCTTAAGCATGAGTATGATTTGGTTCTGCGTGTAAGGTTTGAGCTGCAGGATACAGAGTTTAGGTATAACCCCAATATGACCCAAACATACTATAGTAGTATCCATTTTCTTTTCTACTATCCTAATATAATCCCTATAACCCCAATATACTATAGTAGTTTCAAATTTCGTTTCCATTATCTTAATATAACCCCTAGTTTGGGCGCAGAGTTTACGGTAAGGCTGAGGGCTTCTGGCTGTCACTGCTTGGTCATGATTGCTTTTTCTGCTGCTTTCCATCATCACTCCTCAAGGAATGTCTCGTTCTCATCATTGAAACCTTCAGTTATTCAAGCGATTCGGGCACTTATCAACACAAGGGCGCCCCCCCAGTCCTCTCTCGAGAACATGGAACGTATCAAAACCAAGGACCCTCAACTTCCAGAATCTTGCATTGTGCTCTTAGATGTTGCGAACAGCGACGCTGCGACACATGGTTCCCCACAGCCTCCTTCAGCCATCTCATATGAGTAGCGTTTTTTTGGTGGTTAAACCCAGTAAGATTATCTTCCTTATATAAGATACTATACCCCAAAAGGAAAATATAATCATACTCTATATTGGGTACCATAATACCCCCAAATAAAGTACTACTCATATGGAAACTGCGTTTATCCTCAAAACTCGGAATTCTCAAGCCTGCACCCCTTTGTGGGCCTAGACCCTCTGAATACTGCTTGACACCAGCGCAAACCTGTAGTCCCCACATAATCGCTGAAATAATTGGGGTAGTTCATTCCTTCTTTTCCGGCTAAGCCTTAAAACTTCCTCCTTAAGCCCATGCAAGCAGTTTTCACTTATGTTCCGATTCTGCTCAAAGCGGCCATCGTCGGAGCTCAAGAAGAACTTGTAGTTGCCTTCCTTTTTGGTGATGAGGCTACCAGTGCACCTGCACGAAACAACTTGCTTTAGGTTAGGGCTTAGGGCTTCGCAGGGATTATACAATAAGGCAGCTTATGGGGGCCCAAAGGGGGGAGTGAGGGAGCGAACACAGGAATTGCTACAGGGGATTACATGGGGATTATCAGAAGGAACCACTACCCCACTCTCCCTTAAGCACCAGCAAGACAAGGATGGTTTAGGCTTTATCCTTTCTGAAAATTTAAATTGGACCCTATCAAAATCAATGCTTTCTCAAAGGGCTCTATGAGTTTCAAGCCGCTTTGACTGTAGAGCCCGGGGGTTTCTCTCCAAAAGACAAACAAAATATGTTTTCTCATGAATGAAGTACAAGAAGCAACACCAATGCAATAATTATGGCACGGCTGATCACATCTGCATGGGTTCTGTCATAACAATTGTCGACTCGTTCGAATCGCATCAAGCCAGATCTCTCACCTAGGATTAGCCCTTCGCAGCCATAGTCCCTACCAAGCCCTCTATGAAGCCTCCCTTCAGAGGACTGGCATTCTTTGTCGGCTTAGCCTATACCCTTGAATGTTTAATTCCAGATCATAAATGCTGATTTCGCCAGAAATTCGGGCCATCTTTACAAACCACCTATATCCTCACGGCACCCACAAAGGATGAGAAACTCGAAACTCCCAAAATTAAACACCTTTCAACGCCTGCCATCCAGACCCTGCAGAATCCCTACCCGCCCTACCCTAACCTCAAACCCTAAAGAACCCTAAGTTCCCCCCCCCCCGCAAGAGCGCCTCCAAACCTATGTAGCCCCTCTGTATCCCTTGAGAATCCCGTGTATCCCTTTAAAGGCCCCATTGTGTCCCTTTAAACCCTGAACCCTAAATCCCTAAACCCTACAACCTACAACCCTAAACCCTAAAACCTAAACCCTACAACCTTATACCCTAAACCCTAACACCCTACACCCTAAAACCCTAAACCCTAAAACCCTAAACCCTAGATCTTAAACCCCAAACCCTAAACCCAACACCCAGCATGGCCTGATACAGAAGCGATCTGATTGGCGCACCTGTGGGAACTTCCCGTTCTCCTGGAGCCGTGGTTAGGGTTTAGGGTTTAGGCCATATGAAATGGGGATCTTCGCGGTTTAGACCAACTAGGGCAGGTTTGCAGCCCCTAGAAGAAGATACTTCTGATAGCTTCATAGGGCTGATACACTATCAATCATAAAGGCCGAGTTGAGGGTGTAAATGTTTCGGGTTTATATGCTTTATGGGTTTGGGACTTAGGACATTTTAGCGTTTGGGAGATTGGCCGTTCAACGTGTAGAGCTTTGGGAATATAGATGACATCAAGCCTTGGGCAGTTTCCTCGGAACTTTTTCGACCCAAGGTTCAGGGCTCCGAGTTCAGAGGCTCGTTGCGGTGGCATGTACTGGGGTTACTATAAGGATAAATGCTTCTCAGAACTTTCCAAGACTTTTATCAGACTTTAGAGGGATCTTGTAGAGACGGAAAGATCGTCGAATGACAGCTGTTGGATTTTAGGCCTTTTCAAGCTTACTGTAATGCGGAATACCATTACGGCACCGCAGGCGGTTCTACTTCTCGTAGGTGTTCTTGCTAACTTCACAAGTCATCAAGCGCAATCCATCACTGATAATGTTGTTCTTACTGCGCCTCTCGGTGGTAGCAGCGGTGGCTGTGATGGTGGTTGTACTGGTTCTTGTGGTCGTTGCAGTGGCTGAGCTGCTAAGCCCTAAACTGGCTCTTGGACGCCCTGCATCAGCCGCAACTGCCCATTGTGGACATCCAGTACCATCTAGACTCTATTCTCACTAAAATATTGCAAGCCTAGATCTGAGATACCGAGTGTTATGTCGGAATAATCCATCAACCTGCTTCGTGTTTGGGATTCGTTGATAGTGTACCCATGTGACCCTTACTTTGCGGTCCATGAAGATCTTCGGCACCACCACGTGATGGGCTGGTGTCCTCAGAGCAAACCAGTAAAGTTTGAAGTCTCTTAGATGAGAGAGTCTTGCTAGTCTTTGGGCATGTTCCCAGGTCTGAGAATTCTCACAGGAACATGGGGGGGTCCTCCACGTACGACCGCTCTAGACTCTAGAGGCCCCAGGGCCATACACGGATTCTTTCACGAGGCCCCTGTAGTTATAAGGGATTCTGTTAGGGGCAGTTTTGAGAAATCATGCCACGGATGAAATGATATCCCCACCACATTCTTAAACTGGAGGAAGGCATGATTAGCATAGATGTGCTCATGCGAAATCGAGGCTTCGTGAAGGAGCCCAATTCTTGCGGAGGATAATCCACTCAGGCCAAATCTGTAACCCCATATAACCCTAATATAACCCCTATATGACCCCTATATAACCTTTACATATGTCTCAAGACACGGAAGAAGTCTTGAGGGTCTGCAGAGGGCTAGGGCAAGAGACCGCGAGTTTGGAGTGAAACTTCACCTTTTGAAGGAAACACAGCATGTAGCAGAATGTGCATACGGGTGGTTGTCAAAATTATGGTCCCATTTTGGGTAGCCTAAGTATTAGGTGCCGTAGTATAATAGCATCCAAAAAAGGATCATAATTTTGACAACCACCCATGTATAGGATGCTGAAAGAGAGCCTGTGTATTTAAAGTGCTTTTAAGGCTTACATAAGCTCCGCCAGGATTTGCTTGCGAGCGCTGCTCCATCGCCAGAAGCTTCGCAGAGTTCATTTTTTGAAAGGAGAGGAACCTGTTTTGCAATGGCTTCGTCCTAAATCTTCGTAAGTGTGAAAAACTGAACAACATGAACAACGTGCATAGTTTTGAGAGATTTGGTCGCAAAGTGTTTTTGTTATCATGCTGTCATGATCAGCACGGCCTTCCTCTGCGCTTGCATGCTTGCCTGCAGCCATTTGGTTCTTTTACCTGGCTCTGATTTGATAAGTTTTTGCGAGCAAGCTTTGCAACGGGAGGTTGAGGCTTCACCTGTCTCCTGGCTGAACCCTACACCCTGAACCCTAAATCCTAAACCTTGCACCCTAAACTCTGAACCTTAAACCCTGAACCCTAAACCCTGAACACTTAACCCTGTACCCCCTTAAGCTTACCAGCATCCTGGGACGGCTGACATTACGCTCCAGAGCCCAAAATATCCCTTTCCACTTTCCGTAGGATCCCAAAAGGATCATCAGGGGATTCTTTGGTGGGCTTTGGGTTTAGGACTTAGGTTCAGGGCTTCTAGCTTCGGGTTTAGGGTGTAAGGTTCAGTGCTTCGGGTTTAGGGCGTAGGGGGAAGAGCTTGAGTAGGGTTGAGGGTTTAGTATCTGACTTTCCGTGATCCTTGTCACAGGATGCTCTCACACGGCATGCTGCCACGTGTCAACGAAGTCAGGTCAGGGACTTGACACTGGGACTGGTCCTCGGTACACATACGTAGGGTTTCAGGGTTTAAGGTTAGGGGATTTAAGGTTTAGTGGGTTGAGTGGATAGGGGATTTAGGGTTTTAGGGTTTAGGGGATTTAGGGTTCTCGGGATTTAGGGTTTGGGGTTCAGGGTTTAAGGGATTTAGGGCTTTAGGCTTTAGGGGGTACACATGGGGGTTCCGGAAGTTTGGAGTCCCTTTGTTGGGAAAATCTAATTTTTCGTGGAATTCTCATCAGGCCCCATAGGGATTAGCCAGTTCTGCGCCTGGCGGTTAGCGAGTTCTGCAGTAGAGCACCTAATTTAATCATTTTTGTGAGAGAACACAACGCGCATCGGGGTGCGGTATGGGAGGGTTCAAAAAGAAAAAGTCTGGTTCTTCGTGGAAGTTTCATCATGCCCCATTGAATTCGTCGGGTTCTGTGGAATTCTCATCAGGCCTCATAGGGCTTAGCGAGTTCAGCGCCTGTCAGTTAGCGAGTTCTGCAGTAGGGCGGGTAATCAGTTCACTTTTGTGAGAAAACAAAAAGCGCACCGGGGTGCGGTATGGGAGGGTTCAAAGTTCAAAGAGAAAACATCTGGTTCTTCGTGGAAGTTTCATCATGCCTCATAGGGCTTAGCGAGTTCTGCGCCTGGCGGTTAGCCTGTTCTGCAGTAGGGCGGGTAATCTGTGCACCTTTGTGAGGAAACACAAAGCGCACCGGGGTGCGGTATGGGAGGGTTCAAAGAGAAAAAATCTGGTTCTTAAAAAAAAAATCGTCTGGTTCTTAGTGGAATTCTCATCAGGCCTCATACGGCTTAGCGAGTTCTGCGCCTGGCGGTTAGCGAGGCTGCAGTAGGGCGGGTAATCAGTTCACTTTTGTGAGAAAACACAAAGCGCAACGGGGTGCGGTATGGCAGGGCTCAAGGAGAAAAAGTCTGGTTAGCGAGTTCTGCGTCTGGCGCTTAGCGAGTTCTGCAGTAGGGCGGGTAATCAGTTCACTTTTGTGAGAAAACACAAAACGCACCGGGGTGCGGTATGGCAGGGCTCATAGAGACAAAGTCTGGTTCTTTGTGGAAATTTCATCATGCCTCATAAAGGTTAGCGAGTTCTGCGCCTGGCGGTTAGGGAGTTTTGCAGTAGGGCAAGTAATTTTTTCATTTTTGTGAGAAAGCACAAAGCGCACCGGGACGCAGTATGGGAGGGCTCATAGAGAAAAAATCTGGTTCTTAGTGGAATTTTCATCAGGCCTCATACGGGTTAGCGGGTTCACTCATGTGAGAAAACACAAAGCGCACCGGGGTGCGGTATGGGAGGGTTGAAAGAGAAAAAGTCTGGTTCTTCGTGGAATTTTCATTATTTAGCGAAGTTCTGCGCCTGGCGGTTAGCCAGTTCTGCAGTAGGGCGGGTAATTGGTTCACTTTTGTGAGAAAACACAAAGCGCACCGGGGTGCGGTATGGGAGGGTTCAAAGAGAAAAAATCTGGTTCTTCCTCGAAATCTCATCAAGCCTCATATATACAGGGCTTAGTGAGTTCTGCGCCTGGCGATTCACGAGTTCTGCAGTAGGGCGGGTAATCAGTTCACTTTTGTGAGAAAACACAAAGCGC